TAATTTCACTGGTCTAGTCTTCCATTCTTATTGTATTTACATAGCAAATTGGAAAGGAAAAAGAGGGAAAAAAAATAGCCCTTTAATATGGATAGTTTGAGAAGGTGCTGCAGACTCATTTCAAAGATCACCTCCTCCAGGAAACCTCACCATTTCCTCTCAGATGGGGTGAGTGCTTTTCCTCCACACTTTCAAGGAAATCTCTAACCTTGTGGACTTGTTTTAGTAACGTTTATGGGTTTGTTTTTATTATTTGAGAGAGAGAGAGAGAGGGAGAGCTCACAAAGGGAGAAGGACAAACGAAGAGAGAGAATCTTTTTTTTTTTTTTTTTACAAATAGTTTATTGTCAAATTGGTTTCCATGTAACACCCAGTGCTCATCCCCACAATGGAGGAGTGTCCTCCTCCATGCCCCTCCCCCCTCCCCCCACACCCATCAGTCCTCAGTTTTTGTCAGCATTCAAGAGTCTCTCATGCTTTGCCTCTCTCCCTTCCCCCCACCATTTCCCCCCTTCTTCTCCCCCTTGTTCCTCAGTTAAGTCCCTCCTAATCCTCCTATACGTGCAAACATATGGTATTTGTCCTTCTCTGCCTGACTTATTTCGCTCAGCATAACACCCTCAAGTTCCATCCATGTTGCTACACATGGCCAGATTTCATTCTTTCTCATTGCCATGTAGTATTCCATTGTATAGATAAACCACATCTTCTTGATCCATTTGTCCATTGATGGACACTTAGGCTCTTTCCATGTTTTAGCTATTGTGGAGAGTGCTGCTATGAACATTGGGGTACACGTGCTCCTATGCATCAGCATTCCTGTATCCCTTGGGTAAATTCCTAGCAGTGCTATTGCTGGGTCATAGGGGAGTTCTATTAGTTTCCTGAGGAACCTCCACACTGTTTTCCAGAGGGGCTGTACCAGTTGACACTCCCACCAACAGTGTAGGAGGGTGCCCGTTTCTCCACATCCTCGCCAGCATCTAGAGTTCTCTGATTTGCTCATTTTAGCCACTCTGACTGGCGTGAGGTGGTATCTCAGTGTGGTTTTGATTTGTATTTCCCTGATGAGGAGGGATGCTGAGCATCATTTCATGTGTCTGTTGGCCATCTGGATGTCCTCTTTGGAGAAGTGTCTGTTCATATCTTCTGCCCATTTCTTCACTGGGTTGTTTGTTTTTCAAGTGTGGAGTTTGGTGAGTTCCTTATAGATTTTGGATATTAACCCTTTATCAGATATGTCATTTGCAACTATCTTTTCCCATTCCATTGGTTGCCTGTTAGTTTTGTGGGTTGTTTCCTTTGCTGTGCAGAAGCTTTTAATCTTGATGAGGTCCCAACCGTTTATTTTTGCTCTTGATTCCCTTGCTTTTGGGGATGTGTCAAGTAAGAGGTTGCTGCAGTGGAGGTCAAGGAGGTTGTTTCCTGCTTTCTCCTCTAGGGTGTTGATAGTTTCTTGTCTCACGTTCAGGTCCTTTATCCATTTTGAGTTTATTTTTGCGCATGGTGTGAGAAAATGATCTAGTTTCATTCTTCTGCATGTTGCTGTCCAGTTCTCCCAACACCATCTCTTAAAAAGGCTGTCTTTTTTCCATTGGATATTCTTTCCTGCTTTGTCAAAGATTAGTTGGCTGTATACTTTTGGGTCCACTTCTGAGTTCTCAATTCTGTTCCATTGGTCTATGTGTCTGTTTTTGTGCTAATATCATACTGTCTTGATGATGACAGCTTTGTAGTAGAGGCTAAAGTCTGGGATGGTGATACCTCCCATTTTGGCACATTGGACCAGGTGGATCTGACGGATATATTTAGAACTTTACATCCTGAGGCCAGGAATTTACTTTCTTCTCAAGTGCTCATGGCACATTCTCCAAGATAGATCACATACTGGGACATAAAGCAGCCCTCAATAAATATAAAAGAATTGAGGTCATACCATGCACACTGTCAGATTATAATGCTTTGAAACTTGAAATCAATTACAGGAAGAAGTCTGGAAAAACTCCAAAAACATGGAGGTTATAGAACACCCTACTAAAGAACGAATGGGCCAATCAGGCAATTAGAGAGGAGATTAAAAAATATATGGAAACAAATGAAAATGAAAACACAACAATTTAAAATCTATGGGATGCTGCAAAGGCAGTCCTAAGAGGAAAGTACATTGCTCTCCAGGCCTATTTCAAGAGATTAGAAAAAGCGCAAGTCCAAAATCTAACAGCTCACCTAAAGGAACAAGAGGCATAGCAACAAGAATGCCCTAAACCCAGTAGAAGAAGAGAAATAGTAAAAATAAGAACAGAAATAAACAACATAAAGACCAAAGAAACAATTGAACAGATCAATGAAACAAAGAGTTGGTTTTTTGAAAAAAATAAACAAAATTGACAAACCTCTAGCCAGACTTATCAAAAAGAGAGAATCTTAAGCAGGCTCCATGCTAAGTGCAGAGCCCAGCACGGGGCATCCTATGACCCTGAGATCATGACCTGAGCTGAAATCAAGAGTTGGATGCTCAACCAAATGAGCTACCCAGGTGCCTCTATTTTGTGTCTATTAACTCCAATAAACTTTGAGCTTCTTAAGGGCAAGTACTATATCTTACATATCTTTGCACATCCAGTACAACGCATGGCCCACAGGATATATTCAATATGTTTCTTGAATATTACTAACTGAATGGTCCTGCTTGGGAATGTACAGCCTATATTTGACTCAGTGACACCCACTTATCTAAGCTTCCCAAATCCTCTTCTGATTGAAAATCTTTCTTTAAAACATGCTTAATCATTAGATATGGTTATTGCCAAACAACCATATTGCTATCCTGGGAGCCAACCTGACAAATTTCTTTAGCATAGAGTTTTAAGTTCCTTCTCTGCACTTCATTTTGTGTTGATTTCACAGCCTACCCCTCTGAGCCTACTCTGTTTCCCTCATTTCTGACTTTAGGTGAAAATTTTACTTTTGCCCTTCTCTGTACTACCTGCACAGGAAGATGATACCTGTTTCTTCGTGTTGCTATGAAGAATATATCACATGGTGCATACAACGTACATGGCATATAGTAGGCCTTAAGTAAATCTCTTTTGAAGGGATGTCCAAAAAGAATGATATCTTGGCATTTTTGACAACATGGACAGAACTGAGGGGTATTTTGCTAAGTGAAACAACTCATTCAAAGAAAGACAGGTATCACATGATTTCACTCATATGTGGAGTTTGAGAAACTTAACAGATGATCATAGGGGAAGGGAAGGAAAAATAACAGAAACAGAGAGGGAGGCAGACCATAAGAGACTCTTAAATACAGAAAACAAACTGAGGGTTGATGGGGTGGTGGTGGGGAAAATGAGTGATGGGCATTGGGGAGGGCACTTGTTGGGATGAGAACTGGCTGTCATATGTAACTGATGAATCACTGGATTCTACTCCTGAAGCCAAGACTACACTGTATGTTAACTAGCTTGAGAATTTGAGAGAGAGAGAGAGAGAGAGAGAGAGAGAGAGAGAAAGAAAGAAAGAAAGAAAGAAAGAAAGAAAGAAAGAAAGAAAGAAAGAAAGAAAGAAAGAAAGAAAGAAAGAAAAGAAGAAAAAGGAAGAGAGGGAGGAAGAAAGGGAGGGAGGGAGGGAGGGAGGAAGAAACCATACATCCTTGGCATGATTCTAGGCTAATGTTGAAGTGACTTTGAAACCCCAGTTTCAAAGCAAATTTTAGCAAGTGCAGGATAATGAATATGGTAAGCAGGCAATTGATGGTTTAAAAAAAAAGTGACAACAAAATTTTTTTCAGATTTCCCCAAGGTGAAAGAACTATCACATTGCTTTTTAAAATTTTTTTAAATATTTATTTATTTTTGAGAGAGACAGAGCAACAGGATGCAAACAGGAAAGGGGCAGAGAGAGGGAAACACAGAATCCAAAGCAGGCTCCAGGCCCTGAGTTGTCAGCACAGAACCTGACTCAGGTCTTGAACCCACAAACCATGAGATCATGGTCAAACGCTTAACCAACTGAGCCACCAAGGCACCCCTAGAATTATCACATTGTTGACAGGAAGCAAGTAGGCCTTCTGGATAGTAATGTAGTCTCTTTGTCTTTAAGGACCTAAAAGGAATGTGAACAGCATAGAACTGGATTAAGACCTCACCAACTAATGTGTCTCCCTCAAAAGAGAAGAAATAGTAAATAGCAGTCTCCTGGTAGCTTTAAATCTCTGTGTTAGTTCCTGGGATGAGGCATGGACACTGAATGCGTGCTTCAGACATGAAATTACATGAAGAAAATGCAAAACTGTACTGTAATAAAATTACATCATAAATATACAAAACCAAAAAGACTGATGGTCATGTATCAGTTGATGGACACTTGGGCTCTTTCCATGTTTTGGCTATTGTTGAGAGTGCTGCTATGAACATTGGGGTACATGTGCCCCTATGCATCAGCACTCCTGTATCCCTTGGGTAAATTCCTAGCAGTGCTACTGCTGAGTCATAGGGGAGTTCTATTGTTAATTTTTTGAGGAACTTCCATACATACTGTTTTCCAGAGGGGTTGTACCAGTTTACATTCCCACCAACAGTGTAGGAGGGTGCCCATTTCTCCACATCCTCGCCAGCATCTAGAGTCTCCTGATTTGTTCACTTTAGTCACTCTGACTGGCATGAGGTAGTATCTCAGTGTGGTTTTGATTTGTAGTCATGTATCCAAATAAAAATTGTGGTCTTAGAATATGGTTATAGGTAATGTTTTTATTTTTTTTTAATCTTCTATAGTGCAATTTTATTAAAATTAAATAACAGTAAAATTAATGAACTGGCTGTTTCAATTCTGTAAGTTCCTAAATAGAAGGAACACTTATAAATAGGGCAGCCCCTTTCCTCAGCTGCTGAAAGGTGCTGGTCCCTCCGAGGAAGATAAGGCCACTTGGGGGTGAGCCCCTTGCTTCATCCGGTGACTAGAACCATGTCTGGCAGCACCGCTCAGCACTTGCCCGCACCATGGCCTCAGTCTCAGAGTTCATCAGCATCTGCTCTGCCCCCATCCTGAATGACAACAAGGTGATGGTCACAGAGAACAAGATCAGTGCCCTCATTAAAGCAGCAGAGGTAAATCTTGACCCTTTCTGGCCAGGCTTGTGTGTAAAGGCCCTGGCCAATGTCAACATCGGGAGCGTCATCTGCAATGCGGGGGCAGGTGGACCATGGTGCTGCACCAGCAGGAGGTCCTCCGTCTCCATCATGGCTGCCCCAGCTAAAGAGAAGAAAGTGGAAGCGAAGAAAGAAGACTCAAAAGAGTCTGATGATGACATGGGCTTTGGTCTTTCTGACTAAACCTTTTTTCTGTAACCTATTCAATAAAGAACTGAACTCTTAAAAAAAAAAGGTCAAAAAAAAAAAAAAGAAAAAGATAGGGCAAATGGGGTCTCTCAGGCTGTAAGGGCTTGAAGTAGAGAGTAAGTAAGCAATGAGTATTTTCCGAGTTTCCTGCCTCTTAGTTATATACAGGAAGACAGCTAAAGGCAGCCATGTGCCAAAACTATTTTAAACACAAGACTTCTATTTCCCCCAAGAAGAGTAGGCCTTGGTTTCTCAACTGGAAAACTGGGGGTGATTCACTAGCTGCACTATTTTAGCTTTCATGTGTGTGTGTGTGTGTGTGTGTGTGTGTGTGTGTGTGTGTGTGTTTGTCTTTGGAGGTCAGAGGTAAATATGGACCATGTGGAATCGTCACTTCTTCTTTGCATAATTTGGTTTTATTCCAGATAAAATAGAGTTATTACATCCATACAGCATATGAGCTGGAAGTTTGTGTAGCCTCTTCCAATACTCCAATATTGACTGAAAGTTTTTAAAAGGGCCCATTTTAATCTGACCATCACTGTAACATGATGCAGAGACAGCAGCTTGCAAAAACTAATGAGGGAAAACAAAAGAATGTTGTACTTTTGTTGTGATCTGATGGAAGATATGGGACAAATGCTTTGAAATGAAGCATTGAGTAAGAGAACACCGAATACTGTGTCTCTATGAGGAAGCTGTCTTGTTTATCTACAAGATAAGGGCCATGTGTAGCCAGGTGCATTAACAGTGGGTTCCAGAAACTTGGTGTCTGGGTTGGAAATGATTTGAGTATTTTTTTTCTCCCAGAGGCTGTAGTTTTTCTCTCCTTTAATTATTAGTGGAATCTTGTATAAAAGCCAAAATTGTGAGCTCTTCTTAAGTTGCAAGTTCATTTCCAGCCTGTGGTGTTATATGTTTTATCTGTCCTCTTTAGAATAACTGCCTTAGAAGTTTCATGTTGGTTCTCAATACTCTAAAATAATTTTCTCCAGATCGCTGGAAAATGCAGATTCGTATATAAAAAGACTTCTTACCCTCCTCCTTGACTTGCATGCATTATTCCATGTGACATTCCTAACCAGGAGGGAGTCGATCTTTTGTCTCTTGACTTTCATTGACAGATTTCTTGGGAGAGTTAGCGGCCCATTCATTCTGCCTTATCTGGCGCACTCACTTCCAGCGCCTGTTGTCTAGGTTCTCCTAAGACCAACCCTTGCCTACTCGTCATTCCTCTGGAGTCAAACTTGCTCTTAGGATCTTTTTCTCTGGTTTCAGCTTCCTTGACTGTCCTATTCCCTACTGTTATTTTCCTAAACACTCCTTCTTTGGTTTTCATGGTCTTGTACTTCCTTACCTTCTTTAAGAGCTCATCGCCTGCCTGTCTTCTAAATGTAGGAATTTCCAAAGGCTATGCGTTGTCTCTCCTTTTGTGCCTGCTCCCTCCATGGCCTAACCCACAATCACCTTCACCTGAACTAAAATTTGGTACTTCAACTTTAACAACCTGCCTGCACTTTATAGTTGCCCTATTTCAAACTAAGATACCTGTCCCCCACCATTAATTCTTTTTTTTGCAATTCTCTATTTTTTTTTATTTATTTTTGAGAGAGAGAGAGAGAGAGAGAGAGAATCCCAACCAGGCTCCACACTGTCAGCGCAGAGCCCAAGGTGGGGCTTGAACTCACAAACCGTGAGATCATGACCTGAGCCAAAGTCAAGATGCTTAACCAACTGAGCCACCCGTGTGCCCCTCTTAATTCCCTATTTTTATTTATAGCACAGAATTGTTTTAGGGACCTAGGCTCCAATACGGAACTATATTTGCTACCTCCCTTTCTGTGGCTCCAATATCTAGACAGTTATGAGGTTCTGCCAACTCTCCATGGAAATGGTTTTCTAAATTCTCTCTTCCCACACTCTGACACTGACACTGGTTCAGATCCTCCTTCTATTCTAAGAACTACTGCAATAGCCTCTTCCTGGTCTCAGAGTTCTTTGTCACAATGATCTTCCTTCAAGGGTGGCTTTGATCATGACACATTCCATGCTCAAGAGCATTCCAATGGCACCCCATTCTCCAACACTGTATGAGCAAACCCTCCTTGCATTCAAGCATGCATAGATTTCCAACCCAGTCTCCCAACACTTTATGAGCACCTCACACCATGGTGAATTTACAGCAGTGTGTCTGTTGTTTTCTGAACGTTCCATGTTTTATACTTTTACTTATTCTCTTGCATTCATCTCAAATATGCTTCCTGGTTATTTCTGTTTTTAGAAATCTTATTCATCCTATTAGACCCAGTTCACTCCTTCATATCCCACCAGACTACACACCTGCCACTTTCCTATTTCCTTTCCTATTCTGCCTTGTGGTATATTTGTTTGTATACTTGCTTGTCCTTTTTACTAGATTGATCAGAAACATGTCTTCAGAAAAGAAGGGGCTTGATTCGGTCACACCACGGGTAAGTTCATAGCCTCTTTGAGCCTTGGTGTCGTCATTCATAAAATGAGGATAATGACACAGTGTACCAGTGATTAAGATCTTGGGCTTCAGGGGCACCTGGGTGGCTCAGTCGGTTAAGCGTCTGACTTCGGCTCAGGTCATGATCTCATGTTCATGGGTTCAAGCCCCGCGTCAGGCTCTGTGCTGACAGCTAGCTCAGAGCCTGGAGCCTGTTTAAGATTCTGTATCTCCCTCTCTCTCTGACCCTCCCCTGCTCGCGCTGTCTCTCTCTCTCTCAGAAATAAATTAAAAAAAACATTAAAAAAAAAAAAAAGATCTTGGGCTTCAGAGGCAGGCTGACCTGGATAATAAGTGCTTACTAAATATTGCCCATCAAGCATTATGATTGTCATAAATTCCTTCATGGGGTGTTGTGACAAAAGCACTGCCTTAGATCAAGGCTCCCCAAATGCAGGTTATTTTCAGCTCTAGAAAAGTCATGTGGACTGCACGAGAGCCAGCAGCTCCAGACCTAAGTCCCCACGTACAGTGAATGTGTGCTTGTGATCATAAACAATGACATGCCAAAAATAATATGGTATGACCCTGTTCCATCTACATCTTTGAACCTCTTGAGGTTGTATGACAAAGTAGAAAGGGTAGAGTGTGGATTTTCTAAAATACTTGGACAATGAATTCTGTAAGTCTCAGTTTTCTTATCTGTAAAATATAGCTTTCAATCACAGATATTAAGTAAAGTGATTGTAAAGTTCTTAGTACAATATTTGCTATAAAGCAACTGTTCAATAAATGTCAGATTCCTTTATTTCCTCCCTTTCCCAAAAGCTCCTCATGCCTAGTATAAACTTACCAATTTATTGTTGAAGTTAATAGAACTTAAAAAATACTGAGTAGTGCTATTGCTGCATCGTAGGGTAATTCTAGGATACAGGAGTGCCGATTCATAGGGGCACATGTGCCCCAATGTTTACAGTAGCACTTTCAATTTCAACAATAGCCAAAGTATGGAAAGAGCCTAAATGTCCATCAACTGATGAATGGATAAAGAAGATGCAGTATATATATACAATGGAATACTACTTGGCAACGAGATAGAATAAAATCCTGCCATTTGCAGCAATGTGGATGGAACTGGAGGGTATTATGCTAAGTGAAATAAGTCAGTCAGAGAAAGACAGATGTCATATGTTTTTACTCATATGTGGAATTTGAGAAACTTAACATAAGACCATGGAGAAAGGGAAAGGGAAAAATAGTGTCAAACAGAGAGGGAGGCAACCCATAAGACTCTTAAATACAGAATAAATTGAGGGTTGATAGGGGGTGGGGAGAGGGGAAAATGGGCAATGGGCATTGAGGAAGGCACTTGTTGGGATAAGCACTGGGTGTTGTATGTAAGCAATGAATCATAGGAATCCACTCCTGAAGCCAAGAGGACACTGTATACACTGTATGTTAGCGAACTTGACAATAAATTATATTTTAAAAAATTGAGTATGTACCTAGAATACGTACATTTGTCACAGGGGATTAGTGCCTTATCTGGCTAATAGGTTGACTCCTGGAGAAGCCAGAAGTAATCCCTTTAGAGATTTAAAAATATATAATTAACTCTTCATTAAAACTAGATTCTAAAAAAGTTTTTAAGAGAGACAAAAATTACTGGTACAGCCCCTCTGGAAAACAGTGTGGAGGTTCCTCAGGAAACTAACAATAGAACTCCCTTATGACCCAGCAATAGCACTGCTAGGAATTTACCCAAGGGATACAGAAATGCTGAGGCATAGGAGCACATGTACCCCAATGTTCATAGCAGCACTCTCCACAATAGCTAAAACATGGAAAGAGCCTAAGTGTCCATCAACAGATGAATGGATCAAGAAGATGTGGTTTATCTATACCATGGAATACTACATGGCAATGAGAAACAATGAAATCTGGCCATGTGTAGCAACATGGATGGACCTTGAGGGTGTTATGCTGAGCGAAATAAGTCAGGCAGAGAAGGACAAATACCATATGTTTGCACGTATAGGAGGATTAGGAGGAACTTGACGGAGGACCAAGGGGGAGAAGAAGGGCGGAAATGGTGGGGGAAAGGGAGAGAGGCAAACCATGAGAGACTCTTGAATGCTGACAAAAACTGAGGACTGATGGATGTGGGGGGGAGGGGGGGATGGGCATGAAGGAGGGCACTTTGGGGATGAGCACTGAGTGTTATGTAAAAACTAATTTGACAATAAACTATTTGTAAAAAAAAAAAAAAGAGAGAGACAAAAATTACAAGAATTAAAAGGAAAATCTGGCCCCACACGGTAGTTCCAAATCTCTATACCCAGATACCATAATGGCTAGAGAGATGCAGAATGAAGCAATTTCCTGTTTTCTTACTGGGTTCCAATGAGACAAGCCTCAAAGTAAATAGCCATTTTTTTTCTTTCTTCTAGATAAGTTTACATTTACAACAACTTACCGAGAGACTACTGTTTTCTAAGTGTTTTACATATCTGTTTTACCTGAT